CCCCCTCCCCCCCCCCCCCCCCCCCCCCCCCCCTATCTATCTATCTATCTATCTATCTATCTATCTATCTATCTATCTATCTATCTATCTATCTATCTATCATCTATCTATCTATTCTCTCAATATCCTCAAAAGCTGCAAGCTATATGAACGGGGCAAGTTGTCAAATTTCCCTGTGATCTGGAATGCAAATTTAAATCCAGTTGCACAAATCAACTGCATAAATCCAGTTGATTTAGCTTGCAAATAAAGATGAAAATTGCTTACAATTAGCCTCTGAAAGTTCTAGCTCTTTCCCCTTACATCTTGCTGGAGATGTTGTGCAGTGTGAAAAACACCAGTGGCCTGTTCGTCTATATATTATGGAGGCAAATAAGCTCTGCATGCACTACTCTGGGTTGGGGCTTTAAACGGGCATAAAATAGGGTCCATTTTCTATTCAATTTGATTCATTACAAGAACCCCTCATGTAGTTACAATCTACATTACAAATGCTCTTTTATATTTGAGCTATTATGATTAATATGATTGGGATATTATTTTGTTTAAAGCTCTCTCTACGAAGAAACAAGACGATATGGATTGCATTTCAAGATTTATTACGTGGTTTGAATTTTGTAGCACCAGATTTCATCGTATTCTGGATCAGCTGGCGGTAACAGGAATTATTGGGACATGAGCTTGCATAGAGGGGGAAAAAATCCTCAGGAAGTTTCTACCTTATATTTATTAGCACACTTACTCACACCAAGAAATTTGGTTTTGTAATATGAATACAAAAAATCAAACTAACACTAAATATAATACAATTAATCAGAAATAGTATATAGAAACATAGGACTCTACAGTACAGAGATCCCAATTCAAAAATGCCAGGGAGATTACTATATGTAGCATGTACAGAGCCCCTGCTAGGAACATCGTAAAGCAGCTGTATCTTTGTTGGGTCCTGCTGCCCCTGACCATAACTGATACACAAACCTGGGAAAAGATTTAATTTATAGTATTCCCAGCAAGTGTTACAAAAGCAGGCACGTTCAATAAATCACGTTTTCCTTTCAGAGCTGGATCTTTACATAATCCTAGTAAGAAACTAGAAAATTGACAAGAAAGTACAAGAAATATTTCTGATAATTACATATTAACATACATTATCCAAAGTAGTATTAATGCAACTGTTAAGAATAGTTATTTCAATGCAAATATCAATGTGAACATGGCAAGTTATATTTACATAGTTTAGAAATCTAAAGGCATTTGTTTCATTTTTTCCCATTACAATAAGCACCCATTACTCTATTTTTAGAAAACCCATTAGAAATGGAAATACTCATAATGTTTGCATAAGCATTACATGCAGCAATGCAGTCATTCTGGAATCTGTCTTATTATAAAAGAGATCTACATAAACTCCCTAAAATTCATGTTTTTGAGTTGAAGCACAGATTATTTGGTGAAATGGCTCTTTGTTTACACAGCTTTAGGAGTAAAGCTGTAAACATAATAAGGTCATTTTATCTGCATCAAAGTGCTTGTAATGTCATGAAATCTAGGAGGGAAAGGATGCAGTCTAGAGGTGTTACGAGGCAACTCGGTCCAAATATTACGTGTGAGAGAAAGAGGGTGAAAACATCCCTTTTCTAAAATAGTTCACAGAGTATATGGTAGATGCAGATAGTACCGTCCTCAATCTGGCAAGATTCTGTCTATAAGTATGAAACAATAACAAATTCAGTTTGGAAGGATCACCACATGTCATTCTTAGTTTTGGGCATGATATTACTACCTCTGTATTTATCAGCTGTGAAATTTAATCATGGACGGCACTTCTAAGAAGCAGAATGGGCACAAAAGTTTCTCTAAAACAGATAAATTAAAAAGCATTTCATATGGAAATAATTTGTGAAGGCAAAATGACCAAGGCCTCATGAAACAGCAGAAAAATTGATCTGATAAAAGTAGATATTATAATCTGAATGGATACATTGGATCTATGGACCATTTAATGTATTCATTAGAATTAAATGCAAAGCCTTTGCTACAGAAAGTGGGGAAACCGAAGTACTGTAAATGGCATATGATGGACCAAGGTTAAGTGTTTTAGGCTATTTTTTTATTTTTTTTTGCTGAATGCACAAACTGGCCAATAACCATTTGTTTCTTTTGCTTCAAGAATAATTCTTATCATATCACAGTGTGATCAGGGTTTAAGAAATTTGGTTCAACTTCCTGATAGGTTGCTTCTCTGTCATGAATTCTCTGTCATGAATTGACCGATTCCTCCTTTGGTGGAGTAGTTTCCTTTTTTCCTAAAGGCAGCATAGCCTTGGTAATTAATAGGTAACATATCTCCCATTATCTTACTCTCTCTAATAAAATAATGTAAAACTCAATTCCAGGGCAACAAAAAGAAACTGATTTAGCAGATCAACTCTCTCTGCTTTCAGTACAAGCCCCCTTTCTGACTCCTAATCAATGCATTTCTTATAGTACAGCCCAGTGCTGATTGGAAACGTTTATGGACTTTTTATGTGAAAAAAAATATGAAATTAGCATACATGGTTTGGATGATTAGAACATAAAATAATCATTTAAAAAATGTAAAGTGTTTTAACTATAAGTTAAAAGTTTAATATACATTTATGCTTAGAACTGCTATAAAAATAGCAATAGCACTTAGACTTACATACTGCTTCACAGTGCTTTACAGCCCTCTCTAAGCGGTTTACAGAGTCAGCCTATTGCCCACAACAATCCGGGTCCTCATTTATCGACCTCGGAAGGATGGAAGGCTGAGTCAAATTTGAGCTGCTCAGAATCTAACTCCTGGAGTGGGTAGTGAGTTAGACCTGCAATACTGTATTCTAGCCACTGTGCCACCATGACTCTATAATCAGAAATAATTTCTATTTCTTTTCTGCAATTTTTGTATGCTTTTCTTATTTCTTTTCCTTCTTCCCTTTTATTCTAAATGTTAATTCTTAATAGTTTATGTCATCTTAAAATTGTAGTAGTTACGTATAAAAAAGAAAAGTGAACTTGAAAAAACTCAGAAAGCCTACTTAGAAAAAGCTCTCTCTCGTACAAACGCACAGAGGAAAATATACAAATTTAAGGCGATTCCAAATAGATGGCCTCTTATGGTGGAGGACAGGGAAGAACTTGCAGATAATCTGTCTCTTCTTCATTAAGACCCCAAAGAGCTACAAGTGGAAGGGAATGATGGTAGAGCCCTTGTATTATACAATTTAGAACCGCCAGCACACATCTGATTGGTGCTTTTCAGGATATGAACATTGATGAAACCACAGAGGATCTTTCATAATACAGGGAATGTAACAGACATTGCATTTAGGATAAACCTGTGGCTGCCCTGTATAGGAGAAGCTGCTCATAAACAAATACAAAACTTGTTTTCCATTTCTTGGTTGAGGCAGATGTTTGGGATTTAGCAAGGGAAGGAAAGGTTTACTGGAAAGGTAAAGATAGGAAGGTCACACTCATAGAGCTTCAAGCCAAGGAAGCATATATAGTAGAGTAAATATTCACCATTGTGTGACAGGACAAGAGAAACCACTTGTCTTCATGATGCCTGGAAAATACACACAAAAAAGATTAGTCTAGATTAGTCATCTGTAAAGGTTTTTAACCATTTAATTGCTCAGGAATAACAAGTTCGATTTTCGGGCATAATTCCCAAAATAATAGAATCAAAAAGCCTGGAGAACATTTTGAAATCTCTAAACGGTAACAGAAAGAAGTTCAGGATTTGAGAGGTCCCAGAGCTTGAAAATCAGAAGGAAGTTCTGGTGCACCTTTTCCAACTAATATATTTTATCACAAGGCATAAGCTTTCCTGAGCTGTGGCTTATTTCGTCGTGTGTATAGAGTGATGTGGATTTAATAATATTTGTTAGATATGAAAAATACTATTGGACTTTTCTGATAAATTTTTTTTTGCTATTATGGATTATACAGAATTCCAACAGAGTTGGAAAGGACCTTGGAGATCTTCTAATAAGAACCTGCTGCTCAAGCAGAAAACCCTTTACTAGAACCTTTTTGTCCTCGTGTGCCGAAATTGTGCATGTGCATTCAATAGCACATGTGTGTGTGCCTCACACCCACAATGCAATGCGCCCCGCCCATCTGCGCATGCAACAGCCACCCCTGCACATGGAAACAAACTTCTAGGTTGCTCATTGGGCCCATTTTTTGCCCTCCCCGGGCTTCGGAGGCTTTCCTGAAACCTGGGGAGGGTGAAAACTGCCTTCCTCGACCTCCCGGGAGGCCCTCTGAAAGCCAGAAATGAATCGTTTCCGAAGTTCCGGTTGGCCTGTTGGGCCCGTTTTTCACCCTCCCCAGGCTCCAGATACTTTCCTGAAGCCTGGAGAATGCGAAAACAGCCTCCCCTGGCCCTCCAGAAGGCTGAATATCAGCTGGCCAGCACGTTCATGCGCGCTGGAGCTGACGGCTCACATCCTGGCAGATATGGCTCCGCATGCCACCTTCACCATCACGGCCCTATACCATTTCAAACAAGTGGCTGTCCAACCTCTTCTCAATAACCTTCAGTTTTATTCTCACTGTCAGGAAATTTTTCTTTAGTTTTAGGTTGGGTCTCTCCTTGATAACAGAGTTTATCTAGCTCATTGATTAACTTGGCTCTCCTCCTTTATAGCCTTCAAACCTCATGGTTTAAGACTACATTTGCTACATTAGTAACCCAGAGAAAAGTTTTCATTCTCACCATTGGATGATAGGTCTGTTGATTTTGAGTCTTGAGCCTAATCATGGCTATGATAGCTAAGGATACTTCAAGAAGCACAAAGATGAGGAACACAGAGTTCAGGCCAAATGACAGAATCTGTGGGCAAAATCACATGCAAATTACCACCCTCTACCTGATTGTAAATTCCTCTGTTATATAAACCACAGAACTGAAAACATTATCATTATAGTTGCTTGGAACTACAGGAATTCATATCTCAGTGAAGAACAATTAATTAACTTAAAACCAAAATATTACTCAATTATTTAATTTAGTTACACTTGATATACATTTAACTTACTTTAGCATATGTTGGTAACTTGGAGCTTATTTGCTCTTTTTGTACCACCTCACTCCAGGAGTATTGCCTGAGCCCCATTGAAATAAAAAAGGGGGGTACAGGTGAAGACTACAGGAGTCACCTACTGTGATTCTCAAAGTCAAAGGGGATGGGCTTCTCCTTGTCTCAGCTTCATCCTTCCCATGCAAGACATGAGCTTTTCCAGAATTTTGCCTAGGGTACCACCTTGCTTGAGTAGCCAAGATTGGAATGTAATGTAATGGCTTCATTCACTCAGGCCTTATCCTTCTCTTGCGGAAAAAGGCAGGTGATGACCGCATTAGGCTTCATGTCATCTTCGGTGTTTTTAGTTTCTTTTTATAGCAATAGCACTTAAGACTTATATACCGCTTTGCAGTGCTTTACAGCCCTCTTTAAGCAGTTTACAGAGTCAGCCTATTGCCCCCAACAATTTGGGTCCTCATTTTACCAACTTCAGAAGGATGGAAGGCTGAGTCAACCTTGAGCCTGGTGAGATTCAACCTGCCAAATTGCAGGTAGGCAGCCTGCAGAAGTAACTTGCAGTACAGCATTCTAACCACCGCGCCACCACCGGCTCTTATGTTAACTTTTTCCTTGTATTTCCAGTTTTCTTTTTTTGTGTGGCTACAAATCTATTGAACAAATTTTTATGATGAATATGAAGACTGAAAAAGCAGTAAGACATCAGGATGCATGTCCCTCCCTACAAATGAGATCTTTTCTGTCACTAGCAACTGAACAGTGCAGGCAGCAAAGAGTTGCATAGAACATGCACGGTTATACTCATAATAATTACTGCTGCATTCAGGAGATGATAAGCAGGGAAGTGTTGCACAGAAATAAATGCTAAGATGGGAAGGCTGAATAAGTCAAAATTCAAGAAATGATATCACAAGTTTCTCAATCAATATAGAAAGTATGCAGTAATTGGATTTAGACACTATACTCAGAAATAATGTTTAATTTTGACTGTGAACCCAACCACTGTGAATTGTTAACATTAATTTGTGACTTGGGGTGTTGCATGTATTTGGATGTACTATGTTAACTCAGTCAATGTCTTTGTTTCCAGTTAAAAATACCTGTGTAACACAATATAATTATAGTTCTGCAAAAGCCACAAAAACAGTACAAAACAAAATAAATATCCTAATAGAGAACAGGGCTCATATCTATACCAAATTTAGACAAGTTGAAGAGTCTTTAAAGGTCTGACTCTTACTATGTCAGAATCATTTCAATTGCTGCTACGTACACATGAAGGAAGGTCAGGAATTTACCTGATGATAATTTCGGCAATAATGACTGTGGTTCGAGTCACATGGGTTTCCTTCTTTAACAGTTTGTGCAATCTCAATACCATGTAGGATTATAGCAACCAGTCCAGCTACACAAAATATCACGTTGGCAAAGAAAGAAGATTTCACCTACAGCAATATATTAGATAAAGGTTAGTTGTTACACATCTTGTTTAACTCTTAGAAGCATCTGTCTATATACTACTAAAACTCTTGTCATGATCTTTAAAAATGGAATAGAATAGAATAATTTATTGGTCAAGTGTGATTGGACACACAAGCAATTTGTTTTCGGTGCATAAACTCTCAGGGTACATAAAAAATACATCCATCAAGAATCATAAGATACAACACTTAGTGATAGTCATAGGACACTAAATAACCAGGCAAAATGGAGCATCATAAATTAACCAGGCAAAATGGAGCATCATAAATTAACCAGGCAAAATGGTGCATCATAGGGCAACAATTATTGAACCAAGGTACCTCAAACCGGCTAACTTACAGAATGAATCAAAAATACAGGACTCATGACTCCCAAATAACATTTGAGAAAGTTGAAGTTGCTTCATGGCTGCTGCTGTAATGATGGGCTGCAGCTCCAGTCACATGATCTTTATTTTCAATATTCTGTGACAGTTTTCCAGACAGATTTGCAATCCTTTGCTCCCCGCCCCCTCCCGGCAGCTATTTACTTGTCTGTTGAGATGGGAAAGGGGAAGGAAGGCAGGGAGGGAGGGAGGAAGAAACCCCCCCACAAACACTTTCCCCAGCCCGCCCACCTGTATTTTTCCTGAGCTGAGCTGCCCCCTCAACACCTTCCATGACCCACACCATCCTTCTCTCGCCTTCACATGGCATTTGGCTCCTTTTCTCCTGCATATTGCCTCTCCTTCAGAGGTGGTATTCACCTGGTCCTCTCCAATTTGGGCGAACCGGTAGTGGCTGCTGTGGGAGACTCCGCCCACCCGCCCCAATGTAATGCGTGACCTTCTGTGCACATTTGTGAACCAGTAGGGAAGATAAGTAAATCATATCACTGCTCTTCTTGCCTCTTACAAGCTAAAATACTGAAATGTAGCATGTCAGTAATTCTGATTTCTACTAGCAGGAAGGAATTATACCACTCATAAGCTCATTGGAGCAACTATAATTTAAAGGGAGAAAACAATTTTGCTCCAGTTTCAACTAAAACAATGCAAAGCTAGGAAGACATTGACCTAGTCCCCCAAAACAGGTTGGCATATGATCAAATGTCAAGAGTTGATTCTAACCTGGTGCAAACTCTTCATGCAGATGTTCCTTTAGTTATCTTGGTCAAGTGTGAGTCTTTTCCCGTTTGAATCTAATTGCAGCACAAAGAGACCAGTGAATCCCCACCCCCTCTCTCATGATATTGCTTTCAAATAGCCTCCACCTCAGATGTGAGGCAGCCTTGAGTTTTCTTTAACTATACTGGTATCCCTTAATTCAATGTAGATTTCCCTGTAGATACAATCTAACGTGTCACTAACCATTCTCTTGGTGGCATATTCAGATAATTCCTTGAATTTGCTTAGACACTTTATATTAGTGTGGGCAAGTGTTTTTCCCTCTGTTCTCAGGCACTGTCCTCCAAGATTATTTTCTTTTGGGCTGCAGGACGATCCAGTTCTTTCAAGTGGCCTTTCCTCAGTACTTATTAACTTTCTAAGTCAATCTCCATCCCAGAGACCTGAATCAGCCCAAACAGGAATGAGAGCAGTGAAGTAGTGAAGCCAGCTCTCTCTTTATTGCTTCATGCTAAAGTGGCTTTACCCGAGGGAGAAAAAAACAACACAAAGCCGGACTGATAAATCTGGCAACATACTCACTAGCTGCTTGGATTGTCTTTTCTCAACTTCTAACAACAAGGACCCAGCGATCAAGAGCTACAAAAGCAAAGAAAAACAAACAGCAGGTATAAAGATGAGCCTATTTTACATTGCAGAACCAGTGTTCCTAGAATCAGGCTGTTCCTACTAGTCATTTATTAATTAACTTGATTTACATCCTTCTTCCTTACTCAAGCACTAAATCCTGAAGGCAACTAAAAGATGAGAAAAAGCCTATTCCAGTTTCCCTTATGGGTAGGTCAAGGCATGCCAGTTGAATTTGTGTGGAAAATGCTCAGAAACTTAAAAATCCTCCACATCAAAGAATGTATCCCTTAACTTGGCGTCTTTGGCTTACATTGGATTTTAACTTCACTGCTTTCTAATCAGCACTGATATTATGGGAACTGAATTCTAAGATATCTGGAAAGCACCAAGTTGTAAAAAAATGTGTAAGGAAAAATTTGTGTTGAACAAACATATTGTCTACTGGGGGAAGGGGAAAGCAGGTTCTAGATCTCTCCCTGGTTCTGAAACTATACAGCACCCTGCAGAAGCTTCTACAGACTGAAGATGGGTAAACCTTTGTGCCTCTCAAAAAGTTTGCTTACCAGGATCCCAGTCCAGAAGTAAATGCCACTTTGCACAGTGACGGTGTAGCTTCCTTGAGCTGCTGTCAGGGCAATGCCAAAGCTCAGATGGGTAACTCCAAAAGCAATCTGCAAGATCTGAAGGAAAAAAGAAAAGAGGGTGCCAAGTAATATATTTAGATGTCTAAAGCATTAACATCACCACCTAACAAACCCAAGGAGTATTTTGTGTTATGCGTTGTGCTATGTCAAAAGTTTTAATGAGAAGTTTCCTACAACATCAAGTTTTTCCTCTATTAGAAAGAGTATTTTGGATAAGACAGTAATATTAAAAAAAGGAGGGGGAAGATGAAAATCACACTCAGAATTATAAATGAAACCAGTGCCATCATTTCAACTAAATGGTTAATAATTAACTCCTTAAATATGTTCTTGGGATTTCAGCAAATGATTTGCAAGTAGCTGGAGAGGGACCATTCAGTGCCCTCCTTGTGCTGCCTCCTCCTCCTCCTTTGCTTTGCTTTTTCTTTTTTAAATGCAATCCTCATTTTAAAAAAAAAAAGAAATGTAGAATGAACTTTGAGCATTGGTTAAGAGGAGTCTAGCAATACTAAACCCTTTAGGGATTCCATGCTAAAAAGTAGAACTTTGTTTCCCAGGCCCTCCAAAACCAAAAATCTTTCTAGGTTTGCAAGGAGTCCAAGGTTATTCTTATATATCTGATTACCAACAATCCCAATAGAAGTAGTACAACAGCAAAAATATCTGCTAAAACTATATTAACACAAAATAACTGTAATGTCTTTGAGGTATGAGCTTCTTTGCATAATCAGGGATTATGCAAAAAAATGTAGGTGTAGCAGTCCAGGTAGTAAATTCTACTAGAATAGAACTGGGGAATCGGGAGAGGAAGGATTAAGCAATGTTCTCCCTCTACATAAGGATCTCCCAATAAAAATTTAGTGTACCTTTCAGTCGCTAGCATAATCACATAAAAATGAAAGTCTGTGATTCTACTTATAATTCAATTTGTTAACAAGTCTTTCTTGAATGGTCTTGAGGACCTGAGTTGTCTCACAAAGAAATGCAGAAGTTTTCACAGACTTTGGGCTTAATTGGAGAAATCTGGAGAGCCTTACCCCAATCACATTGAGCAGGGTATTCTTGATCTTTTTCTTATGGGTTAGTAGGAGCTGAGATGTTGCAGAACCAGAGTCAATGAATCTGACAGTAGCTGCCGGTGTTGGCAGAGAACCTGTCTGTGGGACTGTTTGAGTGAGGATCCTCACATTTCCATGTTCTGTCACAGTGCTGGCCATTTCTAAAGAAAACCAAATGCATAATTAGCAAGAGCCAAAATGAATGTGTTCCAGTTTATAAGAATCTCGGTGAACCAATATTTAAAATGAATCTGACCAATTCAAAAAATAGTGGAATTGTTTTCCCATTTGATACATTATACCACTTTCTAGCCTGGTGCCTTAACCACTAGACTAAACCGGGAGTCCCCAACCTTTTGGACCTCAGGGACCATTAAATTCATAATTTTAAATCCAGTGGACCACTAATATGATCTGCCTAATGACTGGCTGGGTGGGCATGGCTAGGTGGTCATGTGACTGGATGGGCATGGCAAACTTGATGTCATTCATGTTACCTCACTGGCCTCTACTCACCCCTTTCCTCCCAGCCACTCCTCTCCCACCCGCCCAGGCTCCTTAGGGCCCCAATAGGAAGTTGTGGAGGTAAGCAGCCACCACAAGAAAGAGTTGGCAAAATAGCTATCTCAGTTCAAATTGGATCTG